GGGGGGGGGGATGGCGGCAGCCTGGAAGCCTCGCATCCCCGCGGTCAGGAGGCCCGGCTGTGGCAGCACCGGGTCAGCTGGGTCAGGGCCGGGAGACGCGGCTTCCGCTTCTGCACTGTGAGGGTGGCCGGGGTGGGGGCAGGGCACGTTTCTCTGTCAGCCCCCAGCCGGTGTGCGGGTGCTGTGGTGACAACCAGGGCGCGGCGAGCCTCACATGCCCCGGACTCCCCACGGGAGGGCACGGACCTGTGCCTTTGGGGCGCTTGATGCCTGAGGTCGCAGTGCCTGTCTCCTTTCTGCTGGATCCCTTTCCCCTCCCCTACCTCCCTGGAGTGGGCCCCGAGGCCCCGTGTGGGCAGTGGCCCCCAGCTGAGCAGGCACAGGGAGTCGGCGCTCCAGGCCCTTCTGGCTCTGCAGGCCAGGAAACCCAGCCCCACGGCCAGGCCCCACAAGCAGGCCGCTGCCTGGGGTTCTCCTCGGCGCCTACAGGGCCACAGGGCCACAGGGCAGGCCGTCCGCCAGAGGGCGTGCACACTGGACTCTGGCTGAACTCACAGTGGCCTAGAGGTGCATCAGTGACCGAGGCGGCTTCGAGAATGTTTGCTTTTAATAGATCAACAATGCTGCCCGGAAGGCACACAGGCAGACGCGTGTACATATTTACAGTTCTTGGGGTCGTCTCCTTGGAAAACACAAGCACACAGACCGATCTTGCCTTCGTGGCCCTGCCCGCGGCCAGGCCGCTCCGGTCACGGCACACAGACCAGCCCGGACGCCACGCGGGGCCTTGTTCTCCAGGGCCCGAATGACGAGTGGGTGGAAATGCCTGTTGTTTGAGTGACAGGTGGGAGGAGCCTCGCCCCAGGAGCGGGCAGGCCCCCAGCGCTCGCCCAGCCCCTACAGACCCTTAGCTCCGAGCCCGGGACCCAGGGGAGGGTGGTCGGGTCACTGGGGAACAGACCCCACGCGTGAAACAAGCCAGGGGCGGCAACAGATTCGGTCCAGTTACCAGTCGGTCCAGTGGGAAAAACAAGAAACAAGAAAGTGGGACTTCGCAGCCCACAGACCAAACCAACAAAAGACTAAATCGGCCTAGCTTTCTGGCCGGGCTTTTTTTTCTCAAGCTGTTGTGTGGACGGAGCCTGACCGGGTGGTCCCGGCGGCTCGGGGTGGACGACCATGGACGGGCTCTAGCTGGTCGTGGCGCCAGAAGCTTCCTGGCCACGGTGAGGAGGGCCAAGGGTTTCCCCAAAGAAGATCGCATCCTACTCCCCAAGGTTCGACCTCAGAAGGGCTCCAGCCGGCACACTCAGTCCAGGCAAGAGCGAGCTTCCTCACACCAGGTGTGTGGCCTGTGGACCTGTGGAGAGTTGGACGCCCGGCCTGGGGACACGGGGCTCTTAAGACGCCCTTGACGTCCCTCCCCCCGACCGCGAGCCTGAGGCTCTTCTCGTTCCATCAACAAAGGCTGACCTTGCAGACAAAGGGGGGGCTCTGTGTTTGTGTGGCACAGGCTGGGCGGGAGCGGGGGCCCGCACGCAGCAAGGGCCCGGGGCACCCCCATCACCTGCGGCCCGTGGGTGAGCCCAGCACCCCTTCCCTGCCCGGGGTCTGGGGACAGCTGTGCCGCTGCACTTCTCAAAGGCAAACCTGATGGTACTTCGTGGTTAGGGTTTGGTGCCTTTTAAGGCTTGGCCTACCCAGTGACAGGGTCTCGCCAGACTCCTTCCTGGGCACAGCACCTCTTGGGCACAGGGCCCTGGCGGTGGGGATGATGGTGGGGGAAGGTCTGCGTGGAGAGGGACAGGAGGAGGAGCCTGAGGAACATGAGCCCCTCTTGGGGCCCCGATGTCCTCATGTCTCACGAGACTTGGAGACGCCGTATCCTGCCACAGGGGTCTGTCATATGTGTCTCTTCCAGAAAGTACTTTGCCTACTTGCCGGGTGGAGATCAGAGCACGCGGTGCCAGAGAAGGCGGTGGCAGGAGAGGAACGGGGTGCCGTCAGCACGGCTCCAGACAAGGCGGGTGTTCCCAGCTCACGGCCGGAGGCCAGGAAGTGGCTGCCGAGACCGCGTCTTTGCAGGGCCCCCGGCTGGCCCGTCCTGGGCAGAAGCGTCTGTCCGTCTGACACCGAAAACTGCGCCGCCGGCCCTTCCCGGAGACGAGATCATTCAGGATTCCCTGAACAAGCAACCAAACAGGCGACCAGACCAACGGAAGAGGAGCACCGACCAGGCTGCTGAGGTGTGTGTGTAGCACAGAGCTCTTGGTTCACAAGGTAAAATACTCTCCAGTCATAACTGTAGTTCCCACGTCCTCTAGGACACGCTTCGTCCTCCAAACCCCGAGCTTCCCTGCAGGGCCGTCGCCGCGTGAGGGGCAGGCCCGGAACCTAGGGTGGGGAGGCGGCCTTCCTCGGGGCCACAGCCGGGGCCACCACGATCTCGTCGGAGTCGTCAGAGCTGCCGTCGTCTGCGGGTCCCGGTCCCGAGGGAGAGGACGGCCCTGCAAGGAACCGGAGCGGGGTTGTCACCGCAGCTGCTCGGGGCCGGGGCGTGCCCCGGACACTTGGCACAGCGCCTGCTCCCTGCCGGGCGGGAATGACCTTCGGCGTCAGCGTCACCTGGCCACAAACCACCTCAGCCTCCGAGCTCAGCTCTGGACACCCAGGCCGTTGCCAAAAGGCAAACACCCTCAAAAGGTGAGGCTGGCCGACAGCGAGCAAGCTGGAGCGCGACTGGGGGTCTCTGAGGGCCGCCCCCACCGCGGCGCCCCGAGCCCGTGGCCTGGGCGGGAGCTGCGACCCAGCGCTGGCGAGGCTGGTGGCCAGCTGCGTGTGTAAGAGCCCGCTTCCTGGTGGCACGTCCACCTGGGGAGACAGGCACGCGGTGCCCGGTGGCCCCTCCCCCACACTCTTCATGCACAGCAGCCTTCCAGAATCCCGTCTCTGCTGGAAGGGGGCGCCCGCTGCAGACAGCCTGCGCCCCGAGGGGCCTGAGGAGGGGCCAGAAGCGGGCGAGGGATGGGAGGGAGGCCCGCACTCTGCCCGGTGAGGGGCAAGGGGACAGCCGGTCGCCGGTCGGGGGGAAAGCGGGAAGGAAGCCAGGCTCGGCCGCACCGAGGCGTGTGACTGCACAGCTGGCCTCTGGCGCCTTCCAGAGAATATCTGAGGGGAGAGCCTCAGGACGCTCAAACATCCGTTTCCAAGGTTATCTTCAAAAACACGGTCACGATCGGACCAAACGGGGCCACACGGCCCTGCCGGGAACTGAGGGCGGTGTGTGCGGTAACGCCCCTCGGCGGGAGACGACACCGTCCGCAGGAGGAGGGGCCTCGGGGGGCCGGGAGTCCTCGATGGCCCGCCCGGCTCCGCGTCTTCCGGGGCATCCCGGTGCTGCTGCCCTCGGCTCTTGACACGCGGGGCCTGTGGGGCACCAGAGTTCGACGTCCGCGAGCCCCGACAGCCCGGGCTGAGCGACTGCAAGGGACGCAGCCCGCTCTCCGGTGTGGTGACTTCCCGGGTGGACACGGTGGCAAGCCCTTGGCTCCTCAGGACAGTCTCTGAGACCCAGCCCCCCGAAGGCCGCGTCGCCCCCACTCACCGCAGCGGGGCTGCAGGGCTGCTGGATTCACCGGAGCCTCGTCCTCGGCCGCCGGCCCCTCCGTGGTCTCCCCGCCGCTCGCCTCACTGTCCTCTTGACCTGAAATGACACGCAGACCAGAAGTGCTGGCCCTGCACGCGGCCGGCGTGGGACACAGGCAGGACTTGTCCCCTCCCCCCGTCTTTCCACCCCAGCACCCGGGTTTTGGCTTCCTTTGCTGAGGTTTCCTGACACGAAGCCCCGCTCCCCGCCTGTCCTCAGACTCCATCTTTGTGACCTATGAGCTCAGGACAGAAAAGTCGCTGGAAACGTTCCCACGTGAGCGCCACGTGGTGACCGCCTACCGCCCTCACTAACAGGACCTCAAGACTGCGTTTCTTGGTCCAGTGACCGTCCCAAACCTCCCAGCACCGCCTTCTTGCTCATCGGCAGCATCACAGTACGGGTGCGAGCAAGTCACAGCAGAGGAAGGGGGAGGGGAGGCCGGAGTCGCGGGGCCTGAAAGCAACGTCCAGGCTCTCGCCGGGCATCCGCCTCACACGCGAGGAGACGGGCCCTGCCCAGGACCCCACGTCCGCCGCCAGGCAGAGCTGACCGGGCCTCACTGCTGGGGTGCGGCGCCCCTGTCAGTCCCAGGGATGTCTGCACTGTCTGGGGGCCTTGATGAGGCCAAAAAGCAGATACACGCAAAGCTTTACTTAAAACCAACAAACAGGAAAAGCATTGGTCCAAAGGAGGGAAACCACCAGCTCCGGTTAGAGCCAAGGATAAAAACCAAAGACACACGAGGCATGAAGCTCCAACTCTGTGGCCCGCAGGTGCCCGGAGGCCGCCGTCACTGACCCTGGGGCTGCCTCCAAAGGTCCAGAATCTCCCCGATGCAGCCTCCCTGCTGGTAGGCGGTCACAGTGGACAAGCCCCCACATGTGCCCACACACCCCACGCTTCTGGGCAGTGGCAGCTCTTTGCTGGAAGCTCAGAGGGCCGGGGAAATCGAAACTGAAGCGACGTTACCAGGAGAAGGGGCCGGGCAGGGTGGCGAGGAGAGCTGGCTGTGTGTGGCCGGAACGGGCTGCCTCCTTCTGGGGGCTGCGGCGACGGCTCTCTGACCGGCGGCGCTGCAAGAGAGAGGCCAGCCGCTTGGACTTCACAGAACGCCCCCGTGGGCTGAGGCCCACGGCGGGGCTCACGGATGCGCGGGAGGCCGGCAGGGCTCGTGCACGGCCGGGGTCAGGGCCAGACGCCTTCCTTTCCCACCGTCTCCCGTGCCTTTCTGTCCCAGCGGACACGGTCACCGGCCGTGATGGCCGCGCCGGGATGGACCCTGACCTGCGTGGAGCCCCCGGCCGTCCCCGTTCACGGGGAACCAGAACCATGAGATTCGGGCTCCACCTGGCTCTCCTGTGGCAGAGAGGAACCAAAAACGACACCGGAGAGGAAGGGCAGATTGAGGGGCAGGGAGCCTGAGCCCTGCAGCAGAACAGCCCCAGCCCCCTCCTGAGGGACACTCCCCCGCCTCGGTGCAGAACCCCCCCCCCTCGCCCCACAACAGCTGGGAGGGGCTGTGACTTTCTGCAGCCGGTGCCCCCGCGGGTCTGGCGCAACAGTGCCACCGAGAAGGAGAGGAGGAGCGCTGCCCTGGGAGGGTTCTGACGACGCCCGCGCCTTCCTGAATGCTGGGGTCCCGTCACATTTTCTTCTAACAAGGATGATGCGTTAGGACGAGCTGACCAGCCTACAAAGTGGCGGGTACCAGAACCCCACAGTGTCTGGCCCCTTCTTCTGGTTTCCCCCGGCCCGGGGGGGGCCGTTCCGGGAAGGCCAGAACTCACGGGTTACCCCCGCTGCACAGGCAGGAGGAACTCCTCACGGGGTGTTTCTGTTCGGGTGACAAACCAAGGTCCCAGCTCCTACACCCTGTGCCCGGGGAACCACGGGCCGGCCACCTGGACGGGCAGCTCCTCGCACCGTGTCTGCGGCCGGCGTTTCCCAGGGATACGGAACAGAGTTGGGCCCGCTGGTTGGACTTACCTGCGCCTGACCCGTGCCAGGTGCGCCCGCAGGACGGACTGGATGGCGGTGATGGCCTCCTCCTGTCCCGGGCTGCCCTGGGCCTGGACGGTGGGGCTTGGAACACGCGGTGACGGAGGGTCCTGCGGCAAAATGACAGTGAGCGTGGCAGGGGCCCCCGCCTGGCCCTCAGAGAGCCAGGTGCGAGCACGGCCCCATTCCGGGTGGCTCGTCTGGGTACTGTGTGCTTAGCACTTCCTGACTCTCAGACTCTGGAGATTCTTAAAACGGATGTCTTGTTTTCACAGAGTAGGAAGACGCTCATCTTTACCGCGTTAAGATTATACCTCAATCGTGAGATGGACGCGTACCTAGTACGTAGGCACCAGACGTTACATCCACCTGGAGCCTGCCTGGCCCGATGCGCCCCGCGACGGACAGTAAGGCGCAAGGTAGGACACCGCGACCAGAAGATGCCGTGCTGCCTCGGTGGGTGAGGCGCCAGACGCGGACACGGGGAGAGGGCGGCTAGCGGGCCGCTGTGTCCGGCCCCGGGGGTTACCTGTCTGGGCGGGCTGGGGGGTTCTGGGGCGCACGCCTCGCTTGACAACAGCTTCACCCGCGCTACATGTCCCCTGAACGCTGCCTGAAGCACCACAGCCGCCTGGCAGGGAACGGGGAGAGAGGGAAGTAGACGTTAATTCCCCTGCAAGGTGGCAGCTGCGGAGGAAGGGGGATCCAGAGGGAAAAGCCCTAGCAGCAGAGAAGTGACTTCTCTCACTATTGCATACCCACGGCCTCTCCGTCACTCACCTAGCGCCTCCCCCAGGGAGAAACAGACCCATCGTTTGGGCAGAGAGAGGCACAGTCGCCCGATCCCGAGGGAAAGCACATCATCTGTTAGATGCTAATAAACTTAGCTGCCGGTGTGTGTCCGTATTTTACAGTAGTTAGGTTTCCATGCTGGGTAGTCTATACCACATGCTTTGTAAGGGTTAAATTGTACTGTAGGGCTAACGCTTAGCTTGAAAGATAACAACTTTGTTCTGACACCGAAGGTCAAAAGATAACAGCCTTACTTTTACTCTTGTAAATCATACTTCATACTCTTGTGAATCAGGCTTTACCAATGAAGGAAACAAAACCTCAAAAAAGAGCGT